ATGGAATGATAAGTTATAACGCACTACTTGGTCGGGATTGGATCCACGCCAACAAGTGCGTTCCTTCATCGCTGCATCAGTGTTTGATGCTCTGGAATGAAGACGGTATCGTTGAGGTGGTCTAGGATGACGCAAAGCCGTTTGCTGTTGGGGCCAACGTGGCCGAAGCTTACTTGTACCATGGGGATTTTGGACCACTCGAAATCAGGAGCGGGGATGGAGGAACGCCCGACGTCATAGTGTCAAGTGCACAGGTGTTGAGTAAGGCGTGCTTGGACCCATTGTCCGAAATCGTGAGACCATCGATGATCACATTGGATGGTCCACTGAAAGCTGATGAACAAGTCAATGATGAGTGAACCACCTCGAGAAAAGGTGGTGGAGGCCGAGATCACGGCCTTGCGGGAGAAGTTGGCCGACTATCAATGTGAACAGAGGCTTGTTTGTATGGAGCCTGTCTTGATGGTGGACTGTGTTCCCGACGATGATGACTTGCCGACCAACGGCGAGGGTGTGAGTGACGAAGTGGAGAAGAAAAGCAACTTGGTTGTATGTGATATTTTAGAGGAGATCAACCTTGGCACGGAGGAGGATCCACGCCCAACCTTCATCAGTGCTGGTTTGCCAGAGTCTGACAGGTACGAGTTGATTGAATTCCTTAAAGAGTTTAAAGATTGCTTTGCATGGGATTATCATGAAATGCCTGGTCTCGATAGGAAGTTAGTTGAACATAGACTTCCAATTAAAGAAGGGTATAAGCCACATAGACAACCACCTAGGCGGTTTTCGCATGATATCTTACCTGAAGTGAAAAAGGAAGTTGAACGTTTAATGAAGGCTAAGTTTATCAGGAATGCTAGATATGTGTTGTGGTTGTCGAACATTGTGCCTGTTAGAAAGAAAAATGGCAAAATACGTGTTTGTGTGGATTTTAGAAATTTGAACAATGCTACGCCGAAAGATCTGTATCCCATGTCGGTGGCTGACATGTTAATCGATGTCGTAACCAGGCATGTCAGGTTTTCTTTCATGGACTGTTACTCGGGCTATAACCAGATATACATAGCCGAGGAGGATGTACACAAAACGGCGTTCCGGTGTCCAGGATCCATTGGCTGTTTCGAGTGGATCATGATGCCGTTTGGGTTGGCCAACGCCGGGGCAACTTACCAACGAGCCATGAATGCAATATTTCATGACTTGATTGGCGAGCTTGTCGATAGGGGTGGCTATACGGTCCGGTCCGGTTAAATTGGCCCAAATTGATCCGGTCCAGTCCGGTCTTTTTGAAAATATAAGGACCGAAGATTGGATTGGATACAGTCCGGTCTTGATCCGGTCCGGTTTTGATCCGATCCGGTCCCAATTCGGTCTTGATTTTACATTGAGATTGTGGGATTTGAGTGGCCTAAGGCCTTAAAGGGTGAGGAGTTGGTTAAGTTTTATACTAAGTGCAAAGGTTTGTGACCGTTTATGCAAATTACCCTTAAGTTTTGGGTGTTGAGCTCTCTTATCCGGTTTTTTACCTCAAATCTAAGCCCAAAGATTGGATTGAATTGTTTACTATCCGGTCCCGGTCCGGTCTCGGTCCGGGTTATACGGTCCGGTTTCCGGTTTTTAATCCGGTCCTGGTCCAAATAGCCACCCCTACTTGTCGAAGTGTAGGTGGACGACATCGTCGTCAAATCAAAGGTGACAAACCACCACCTTGCTCATTTGCGCAAAGCATTTCTGCGTATGCGTGTTCATAAGTTGAAATTAAATCCGCTCAAATGTGCGTTTGGCGTGAGTGCAGGAAATTTTCTTGGTTTTCTGGTAAACCAGCGTGGAATTGAAGTAGATGGAAATAAAACAAAAGCCATCATCAATGTCGCACCACCATCTAGTAAAAAAGAGTTGCAACGTTTCCTCGGCCAGGTAAATTACATTTGAAGATTTATCTCGAATTGTGCTGGCCGGACCCAAGTGTTTTCCCCATTGCTGAAGTTGAAGAAGGAAGACAAGTTTGTGTGGAGGGAAGAACATCAACGTGCGTTTGATGATATCAAGAGATACCTGGGGACACCGCCGGTAATGAACTCGCCCAAAGCAGGGGTGCCGCTGAAGTTGTACTTGTCGGCCACAGATACCTCTGTGGCGTGTTTGTTGGCTCAAGACAATGAGGCAGGCAATGAAGAAGCCATTTATTATCTAAGTAGGCTTCTGAACGAGGGTGAGAGAAAGTATTCCCCCATAGAGAAGTTATGTTTAGCGTTGTACTTTTCTTGTACAAAGCTACGCTACTACCTGGTCCCTGTCCAGGTACAACTCATTTGCCAAACAGACTTGATTAAATATATGCTATCTCGGCCAATTATTCATGTCCGAATTGGCAAATGGACCTTGGCTCTATCCGAATTTAATTTAGAGTATGTACCTCAATGAGCAATAAAAGGGCAAGCATTGGCGAACTTCTTGGCAGATCATCCCTGCATTGAGGTGCCAATCGATCCCGTAGAAGTCTGCGAGGTTGGGATAACGCCATGGATCCTTTATTTTGATGAATCAAAAACTCGTGGCGGTGCTGGAGCTGGCGTGATGTTGAAAGCACCATCAGGCCGGGCCATGCATTTTGCATTCTCGTTAGATTTTCCTTGCACCAACAACCAAGTTGAATATGAAGCTTTGGTAGTTGGGCTGGAAATGCTCATTGAGCTTGGAGTCCGCAACGTGGATGTTAAGGGAGATTCACAATTGGTGGTTCATCAGGTCCGCGGCGATTTTCGCTGTATCAACAGCGTTCTAGAAACGTACCCGGACCACGTATTGTCGTTGACAACCCACTTCGACAGTATGGCGATCAACTTTGTTCCCCGAATGGATAATAGCGAAGCCAACTATCTTGCACAAATGGCTTCGGGATTTAAAGAGTTTGCGAAAAGCAATGTCGTAGAACAGATAGTGGTGCAAACACTTAAGCCCCTGCGGGAGCGGTTGAGAGTCGAACAGGTTTGCGTAATAGAGAAAGACGCCGACGACTGGCGTGCACCACTGTTGTCTTACTTGCAAGATCCAAACAAGGCTGTTGACCATGCCGTCAGGTTTAGAGCAAGGAGCTACGTAGTTTTGGATGGGACCTTGTATAAACGCAGACCTGATGGGTTATTATTGAAATGCTTGGGGGGCAAGGAGGCATTGCAAGCCATGGCAGAGGTGCATGAAGGAATATGCGGAGCTCACCAAGCTGGTCCTTCCATGCGATGGATTCTATATCGCTATGGATTCTACTGGCCCACCATCGGGCCAGATTGTGCCTCATATGCCAAGGGCTGCGAAGCTTGTCAACGTCACGGTCCTGTTCAAAGAGCACCGGCGGTTGATCTGAAGTCCATAATCAAACCGAGGCCATTTTATGGTTGGGCCATGGATTTGATTGGTATGATTTATCCCCCATCGTCAAAGAAACATGTGTTCATAATCTTGGCCACGGACTACTTCACTAAGTGGGTGGAGGCCAAACCGTTGAAGGTAGCGAACCAAGAGGAAGTGATTTCTTTCATACAAGAACATATTGTCCACCGATTTGGTTTGCCAGCAACGATAACGGCGGACCAAGGAACTGTGTTCAATAGGGGGCAAGTTATGGAGTTTGCGGCGGAGCGGGGGATAAAGATTATCCATTCCACGTCGTATTACGCAAAAGCTAATGGGCAAGCGGAAGCATCCAACAAGGTCGTGAAAAATATTTTGACAAAGATGATTGAGGATAATTCGCGTCGTTGGCATGAAATTTTGTCAGAAGCGTTGTGGGCATACAAGATGTCCCCGCGGAGTAGTACGAGAGTGAGTCCATTCTCACTAACTTACGGTCATCAAGAATTCCTTCCCGTGGAGGTGACCGTCAACTCACTCCGGTATATGAAGCAGCACGAGTTGACACCTGAGGAGTATCATGAATCAATGAAGCTTGAGCTCAGCGATCTTGATGAACTTCAACTCCGTGCTCTCGATTCAAGTACAAAAAGCAAGAGTGGCAAGAGCTTATAACAAGAAGGTTCGGCACAAGTCATTCGAGGAGGGCGAACTGGTTTGGAAAGCTCACTTGCCGATTGGGGAAAAAGATCCCAAGTTTGGAAAATGGTCGCCGAATTGGCGTGGACCATTTGCGGTACATTCTGTGCGTCCTAATGGAGCATACCTGTTGAAAGATTTAGATGGAGTGATGCATGAGCGTTTGATAAATGGAAAATATTTAAAGCCATATGTGTCGTCCCTATGGGACGCAGCTGGTCATTAATCTAAACAATGACGAACAACCATGTGCTAAAAGGGAGTGGCTCGGTCGGCCACCAAGCTTGCACAATATGGTTGAGTAGTATGCGATTGGCGAAGTATGCAACAAATACACTAATTTGCCAACTCAGTTATTAATAAAGAAAGTTTTAATGCCTTTAAGGCCAGTGGCAGGGTTCACTCGAGTCCAGCCGGTGTGGTGCTGCCGTTCGGCACCAAAATGTTCCTATCTTATCGAACGAAGCTGTTTTTGCCGCGAGAAGCAGGCATGGGTAACAACGTTGTTGGGCATAGACGATTTGGTGCTTGGCATAAGAAAAATTAAGAAGGCTATCGTGGCTAGAACTAGCCAGTCAGCCATGCCCAAACACGGCCGTCGAGATTAGAGCGGTGCAACGGATTAAAGAAAAGAGAGCAACCATTTGCCAAAATTAGATAAACAATGATGAGCGAGCAAAGTTGTTCATGGGTCGAGTTAACATGGCAAAAAAGAGTGTGCAATCCGAGAAACGAGGCCGAAACAAAAATCTAAGGTAAATTCCGAAATCAAGAAAAGAAATTCTTTAGGAGTCTGACGGCTCGCAATCGGCGAGCTGCTGGGCAATGCGGGATAGAGTGGTGCGGACCCGAGTGAAAAAGCTTTGCGCTGCTTGCAGCTCAACCTGCGCTTCTATCTCCGCATGAGTGGGGTCTGTGGCGATCCCGACCGCTTCCTTACGTCGCATTTGTTAAGCCCCTTTGACGAGAGTCGGCATTGTGCTTGCTCTAGCCACCTGCCGAGCTGGTTTCACCGCTTTCCCGCGTTCCACTAGGTCTTTACCCACTGTGCGGAGGAACGCCATGTCAGCAGCACTGAGGGGTGGAATGTTAGCGCTCAAAGTCTCCAGAGTCTTGCAAGCAGTGCTGGGCCATACTATGTTTTGGTCACTCATGGAGGTCACTAGAGGAATGCTAAGAAATTGATCCATCAACTTCAATGCTTCTTTGACTCGGTGTCCAAGTTCAGCCATGGGCGAAGATGACGCTGGGAGGGAAAGATGATTCCACCGCAGTATTGAAGCCATTCCCGGTATCAAAATCATCGGTGTCTTGCTGCAGAAGGAAGCAAGGGTGTGAGTAGGAGGTTAGTTAAAAGATGGTCGGGTAGTATGAGAAAGCATGGGTAAATCTAACCTCGATGACGGTAGTGGTGCGAAGACATGGAGGGGGGCGAGTAAATGGATGACGACTCTCAATAACTGCAATAATTAAGGTTTCAAGAGGGCGGCGAACACGTACATGAGTAATGCGGGAGTTAAAATATGAATGTCACAGCAAGCATAAAGAGGAGTGCGAGGACGAGGATCGTACCTGCTCGCCGTTTCAAGTTAGTATTGAATGCTGATGTAGTTGAACCACCATCGTGGTCAGGAGCAAGTCGGGCGAGAATGTCAGATAACGGCTTGCCGAAAATGCAGGATGCTAGTCGACTCCATGCGTCCTTGAACTGGGGCGAGACTTTATTCCCCACGTTTTTATGAGGAGGAAAGTATTGTGCAGATTCTTGGTGACCTCGTACCTCCATAATTTGTCCAGCGGTAAGTTCTGATGGTCGTTGGTGGAATTTTAGAAAATTCAAAGACGAGGGAGGTAACATAGACCATGCTTGAACGAGGATGAATTGTCGAGCTGCAAGTTGAGGGTTGTAAGTTTCAACGCTGAACACTTCTGAGCCGGTAGGGGAAAAGAGGAAGTCTCGAGCTGTTAGGTAACGTTTGCGCTCCTCGATGAACTCATGGTAAGTGGCGGCAGCGGGATCACCTCACGGTGGTGGCTTGTCAAAAATGAGTTAGAAAGACGCGGGGCCGAAAATCCGTTCCGCGAAAGGGGTGAAGCTGGGAATCTCTCGGACCTCATAAAAGAATGTAAAATAATTGGTAAAATCCCCTTTTTGCGAAGATGATTTAGCCAAACAATGGCCATATGTGAGCATGGTGGTATCTTGAACTGCCGTTGGTAGAGCTGGTAGAGGGCCACGAGTCGCCGGGAAATAAGCATGCAGCCAAAGTTGTAGTAGCCACAGAGGGCCAGCACTGAGGATGTCACCTTCGTCTGGAGCCTCCTTGACACGGTTCATGATGGTATACAGACCGCGATAGAGGTGGCAGAGCACAATTTCATCAAGATTGACGCATTCACCGGTGAAGATTGCAGAGGTGGTATGCACGTCTGTGATGGGTTGTTGGGTGCAAAGCACGAATCGACCAAACCAGTAATGAAGGAAGGCAACCTGCTCGCTGTCGGATACGGGTTCACCCGGAACGACTGGCACGTTGTTGTTGTAGAGCGATTCGTAAGATCGGTCAAAAGCTATCAAGGTAGCTGGGTCCGAGGCTCTCCTTGATTGCACACGCGGTTTTGATATGCCAGTCAGGGCCGCTATGTCGAGCAGGGTGATCGTCATCGACCCCAATGGGAGCACGAAACAATTAGATTCCGTTGACCAGAAGCAGATGGCGGCTTTAAACAGCTCGGGATCAGGTTTTGGCGGCTCCAAACATAGAGAAAGAAATCGGTCGAGGCCGAGTGCCCGCCATTAAGATACAGTTGCAGCATCCTTGGCCAACCGACCATGCCAACGTTTAAAGTCCGGATCCGGGGTTGCCAAAAATGCAGGGAACACTCCGGTCCTCCGTTTAAAGAGTGGGCTGATGACGGGGAGACGAAACAGAAGCTGAGATTCATGGATTGGGAAAACTTCCAATAGCTCCATGATAGCAGTGGTTCGGTCATGAATGAGTGGACCAAGCCAACCCTCCTCATCGTCATCTTTCGATATTATCTCAAGAGAGAAGTCAGCATCGGCCAGGTTTCCTACAAAATCCCGTCGTTCCCCCGGAGATAATGGGAGGAGAGCCGCGGCGAGGCTGCATTCGCAAAGAGGTTAGTTGGGTTAGTGGTGCAGCGGCGGCTATTCACCATAACCAGAATAACATTAACTGGGAGAGAACAAGGCTCCAATATTAAAGTGGAGTTAGGAAAGCAGAACTTACTCGGCGATCGATGAGAATCCTTGCAATGACATGGCGGTGACTTCAGCTGCGCAGAAATCTAAGGTACGGTTTCTTTGCTCGTGAAGTTTTGTGTTGTTGTTTGTACTCGGATAAGTTTAGAGTTGGCATGGGTGACCTATTTATTGGGAATCGCCGCGGAGGGCTAGAAAGAAGTAGTGTCCCTTTGGTTTGGGATTACAACGTTGGAAGGGAATAGGATCTCAATTTAGAGATCCACCAACGCTGCCGAAGCAACATCGCAGGGGCGAGCTGTTAAATTGATATGGTGAGGAGATTATATTTGGCCAAAATTAAATAATAATAGAAAATTATGCTCTTGGCCAAGATTTAATAAAAAATGTATAGGACATTGGCCAAAACAACTTTGTTTGGCTATTGCACAGTGCGGAGATGAATTGGAGAAAGCCTATGGAAAACACTACTGTTCTATCATCCACAGCTCTGCGGGAGAAAAGCAGTGCTGTGAATTTGACTTTTAGTTTTGCCAAAGCAGCATTGCAGAGATGGACCGGGACTGGACACGCGGTTTTGTTGAGGCTGGAAACTTGTCGTCGCATTTGGGCCAAGTACGTAAAAAGAAGAAAAATTTCAACTCTGGCCCAAGTAACATCGCAGGGATGCAAGGTTGTTGTAATTTGGTTTTAATTTGGAAACAGTAGTGGTGCAGACTAAACAACGTTGCAAACCAAAGTTAGGTTCAGCAAGATCACTCGCTCACTCCTACCTTCTTTGCCGCAAGTTTTCTTGGCAACAATGTTTTTTTTTAGACAAAAACAGCGCTGCAGCTTCGTGCGTTTGCACGATTGGGAGAGACCATGCTGGTCAGTGGTTTTAATGATGTGGTTAAAAGAAAAAGGTTCAAAACGCGGCTGTTTTCGGGTAAAGCCGAGCTGCAAAGATGTGCAGCGGTGTTGTTTTTCTTTCTCGCCACGGTGTCGTTTGGGATCGCAAGCTATTGAGCCCGACCTCGTTAAGCTAGGTCCTGGCGTCGTGAGTAGAAAGGAAACAAAGCACGTTTGTTTTTCAACCTAAGCAGCGGTATGGTGGGTTTTCTTTGATCGGGAGGAACAGGATGTCGTTTCGTGACGGGGTTGCAAGTCTGTTTACCCTTGATCTTAGAGATTAAGAGATAAAGTTGAAGCAGGCTTGCTTTGGCCAAAACGCCAACGTGTCAAAATAAAAGAGGCTGCATTGCGAGCTAAGTTGGCGTGGAGTGAGATTGGTTTGGCCCAAAACAGGGCTGCCATAGTCTTTTTTATTTTTATTTCAAGGCCATGATAAAAGACAGCAAAACAACATTGTTTTGGCTTCTGCAATGTTGTTTGCGAAGGGAAAGAACTCAGGTTTGGTGGCCAATGCGATTGTCCTTTCAACTGGGGGTGTAATGAGTGCTCAATTTTATTTGGTCGAGCTCTGCCATAAAGAAAATATGCGGCCACCCAAGAGGCCAAAATCGGATTTTAACGAAACGCCACTGTTTGGAGCGCCAAGGCGGCGCTGCGACGTTAGGTTCGGCCGAAACAATGGTGGTTACTGAAATATCAGTGCTGGTAGAGAAAATTTTTCGGCATCGATGATGAACTAAAGTGAAAAAAAATCCGATTGTTCAAAGGAGCAAACTTTCCGAAAGCAAAAGAAACAATAGTGGCCGCACGAGCATGCCAAAACAAAATAAATTCAGTTCGGAGTAAATAGAGATTGAAAGTAAATGTACGAGATATTAAAGCTACTAGCCATGGAGATGCTTGGCAATATAGGATAGTTTCGCCCGCAAGGTGTCAAGACCGGTCCTTGCTGTTTGCCGAAGTTGAACGGCTTGCGCCTGCTTGATCTCAAGCTTGTCATCGACCAAGGTTGTCTCCTGCGCCGCTAGTGTCTGAGTTTCAGCAGTGAGAGCTGTGATAGAGGCCTGAATTGCTGTGCGGTGGAAGACATCTCCGGCCAGTTCTTTTTTCTTGGCATGCACGTCTGCCTCGAGCCTGTTCAATTCGGCCTTCATTGCAGCAATTTTAAGCTCATCTAACAAAATTTCTTGCTCACGAGTTGTGCACTGCTGAGATCGAGCATCGTATTGAGAGGATAGATCCTTGAAGCGCGCAGTGTTGGCAACGAGATGCTCCCTAATGGATTGGAGGGCCGATCCTCTTTCAGCACTGTTCTTTTCTAGCTCGAGAGCGTCGTGAGCACACTGTAGGTAGTTTTGTGCAAGTTGTTGGGCTCGCTTTGCAGTAGCCGTCTCTTCTAGGCCAAGTCCAGGCAGGATTTCGGAAGCGCCCAGTCCTCCCAATACAGAAAAAGCTGATTCAAGCTCGCTTGGTTGTGGTGGACCAACCGCTTCTTCTAAAGATAGAGAGAGAAACTGGGTAATCTTGACGATAGCGTCTTTTATGGCTTGGGTTCGTGGATCAAGGTGGACCTCCGTAGAGAGGGGAGGTCAAGCTTTAGACAAAGAGGCGAAGAACTGCCCTACAGTCTCAAGGTCTGGCGGAGCCTGAAAAAACCAGAGAAAGAATGGTCACAAACCAAAGCGAAGAAAGAACCACTATAAAGAAGGATGAGTAGTTAGGGTTACCGTCATTGCTGTGTTCGGTGGAGTAACACTGACGGTAGATGAAGCGGGTCGGGGAAGATCGGCGAATGGAGACGGTCGAGCTGCCAAGGATGTGAAGGATGGAAGGGTTGCGCCACCTGAGGGGGTGTGCGTGGGGGTCAAAACGAAGCTAGCGGGTCGGAGGTGTGGGATGGTCAGAGCGGTACTGGTGGTGTTTCTTGTGCCTGAAGAAGGAAGGGCAAGGCTAGCGGGGGTGACTAGAGGTGTCCTAGCTGGAGTGGAGGGAGCAGTGGTGCCTTCGCGCTCGGCCGTCAGTAGCGGGACAGAGCTTTTGTTCAACGGTGAATCAGACTCTGAATGGCTAGCCGGACCCGCAAGGTTGTTGCTGTTACGACCAGGAATCGAATCTGTCAGGGTGTCCCCATCATCGTCGGAGTCAGCGTCGGATTCAATGCTCATGCTATCGGAGGTAGAATCG